AGCCCCCTTGCTAATGGCCAGTACAGCTGTCACTGTACTGTTCCCATCATTTTGAATGCCCTCTTGCATTCTCCGAATGGTACACTCTTCCATCCTCCAGCTTTCAGTAGATTTGTGGCCTGGGAAAAGGTAACAAATAAAAACAAAAAACGAGAGAAGGAGGAGAAACAAAAGGCTGAGTTTCTTTAAATTGTTGGCTCTGCATAGCACAGGTACTTGCAGTGAAAACTAAAGAATTCTTCTCTTTCAGCTGGCATCCGGCTCTTACCTTGTGAATACTGTCACTGCATCATTATTCTGTCCCACAAGGTAAAACAAAACGAGCAACCTAACAACCAGAAGTGTGTTCCTTTGGGGACTGGCTCATTTAAAAGCTTTTCAAATAATGTTGCTGTGTTCTTTCCTATTCTGCCACACCCCCTCAGGTTTTTCCAAGTTCTGGGGAAGTTATTACTTTGCATTCGAGGTGTGTAAATGATACCTTCCTGGGACCCCTCCACCCCACCCCCGCCAAACACACACTTCTTTTTTCCCTTTTTTCTTTTTCTTGTTTTTTGTCTTGGGATTCCTGGAGTGTTTACAAATAGATTAGCCTCTAAGAATTCTGGAGTAACCATAGTGGTTAGGAAAAAAAAAAAATCCCATTGGTTTAATTACCCATGGTGCTATTTTTGAAACTACATGTGCCTTTCTTTTTTTTTTTTTTAAAAGAAGATTGGTCTATACAAAACTTGAGGCTTCAAGCCTAGCTGCTTTTAAAGGCTCAGTGTAGGCAGTACTTTTCAACGGCAGAACTCTTTCAGGACAGTAGTTTTTGTTGCTTTTGGTAACAATTCTTCAAAGACACTCGTCAGTTTTGTGTAAATGGCTTCCTGAAAGTCATTTGGAGGAGGCATAACAGTCACAATTTTAACTTCTATAGGATATATTAAATCCTGACTTCAGCATTTGTCTTTAAGGAACTGTGAATACACATGGGAAATGCACGACTTTATTAGTTATTGCTTGTTCTGTAACAAACTACTCCCTAATTTAGTAGCATAAAGCAACACAAGGTGAAGAATCCAGATGCAGGCCAGGCCTGATGGGGCATGCCTGTAAGTCCAGCCAATCTGGAGGCAAAGGCAAGAGGATCTTGAGCTGGAAGCTAGCCCTGGCAAAGACAGCAGGAGAGTCTGTCTAAAAAAAAAAAATCCAGCTGCAGCTTGGCTGAGAGTTCATAGCTCTGGGTCTCTAACAAAGCTGAGTAAGATGTAGGCCAGAAGGTTGGGGTACAGTGATTGCCTTTCAAGTGGGCGAGTCCAGTAAGGGTGAGGGAGGGGTTGTAGGCCAGGGCTGTAGTCATATGGAGGCTTGACTGGGGGATGGGTTTCCAAGCTTGCTCACATAGCTGTGACCAGCAGGTCCTCACCCACTGTAGGTTGAGACCTCAAATCCTTGCCAGGTGGGCCTCTCCATAAGCCAGCTCACAGTTTGGCAGCTAGGTTTCCCCAAACCAAGAAAGGGGAGTCCAAAACAGAAGCCAGTCTTCCTGTGTAACCCAGGCTGGCCTAGAAGTAACCATTCTGCTGTCTCAGCCTCCTAGGTGCTGGAATTACAGGTGTGCATCACCATCTCCAGCTGAAGCCACAGTCTTTGTTTTGTTGTTAGTAATGGGGTTTGAACTCAGGGTCTTTTGCTTGCTAGGCAGGTGTTCTATCACTTGAGGACATCCTCAGCCCTTTTTACTTCAGTTATTTTTTAGGTAGCATCTTGTACTTTTTTTTGCCCAGGGCCAACCTCAGCCCTTGATCCTTCTACCTCTGACTCCAAGTTGGGATTACAGGCATGTACCACATGTACAGGTTGTTCTTTCAGATAAGGTTTCACTAACTTTTTGTGCAAGCTGCCCTCAAACCTTGATCCTTCTATCTCTGCCTCTCAAGTAGCTGGGATTACAGGTGTATTTTCACGCTGGGTGTGCTACACTGGAAGCATAAATAGGATCAATGGTCCAGACCAGCCCAGGTATAAAAAAAGGGAGGCCCTCTCAGAAAAATAAGTAAAGCAAAGCAAGGCATCCATGGTTCATGCCTGCAATCCTAGCTGTTTGGGAGTTTCATAGTTTCAAGCCAGATAATCTAAGGGACTCCATCTTGAAAATACCCAACACATACACACAAAGGGCTGGTGGAGTGGCTCAAGTGGTACAGCACCTGCCTAGCAAGTGTGAGGCTCTAAGTATTCAAACCCCACCAAAAAACAACAAGAACATCTAAAATAAAAAGGACTGGAGGTATGGCTCAAGTGGTAGAAGAAGGCCCTAAATTCATATCCCAATACCACCAAAAGAAAAGTGAAAAGCCATAATTCCCCCCGTCCCCAACTTTCAGAAGGGAGTCATGAGGTACAACTTTATATCCTAATGGGGCCGACTTCAAGGGTATGAACTCCATTAATTTTTTTTTTTTTTTTTTTTTGCAGTACTGGGGTTTGAACTCAGGGCCTCATGCTTGTGAGGCAAGCGCTTTACCACTTGAGCCATTCCGCCAGCCCAAGGCTATGAACTCCAAGAGGCAAGGATCATTTGGGGCCATTATGAGGCTGCCTGCCACACCGTTATTATCTGTTTTTGGCGGTAATGGGTGTTGAACTCATGGCTTCTCATACTTGCTAGGCAGATGTTCTAGCCTTTCCCATCTAGGCGGACTATCAGTTTCCTTTTTAATAAAAAGCAGAATTCAATTTTTATGATAAACATACTTGTGTTCTGGGTGTGAATGTAAAATGGTGCAACTACTCTGGAAAAGAATCTGACAGTATCTGATAAAATAAGTTTACCATGCACGTGTGACTCCTTTTTAGGAACCTACCCAAGAAAAATGAAAGTGTATGTCTATCTGAAAACATAGGACTATAGTCACGAATGTTCACAGCATTATTCACAATAGAAAAAAACCTGAAATCAGCAAAATGTGCACCAACTGGCAAGAAGATACAAAATGAATCTGTTCATACAATGGAGCACTATTCAGCAATGATAAGGAATGAAACACTGATGCACAATGCAACAGATAAGCCTCAAAACCACTATGCTGAGTGGAAGAAAGACACAAAAGGCCACATATGGTTAAGATTCCACTTCTATGAAATATCCAGAATAGACAAACCTATTTACAGAGAAAGTAGATTAGTGGTTGCCTGGGACTGAGAATGAGAACCAGGAGTAACTGCAAATGAGGATGTTTTTGGCATTTTTTTTCTTTTTTTTTGGTGGTACTGGGTTGAACTCAGAGCCTCAAACTTGTTAGGCAGGCACTCCACCAACCCTATTTTTGTATTGGGTTTTTTAGAGAGAGGATCTCACCAACTATTTGCCTTGAGCTGGCTTCGAACCATGATCCCCCAATCTCTGCTTCCTGAGTAGCTAGGATTACAGGCATGAGCCACGGTGCACAAGCTATGAAGGATGTTCCAGGAATGATGGAAATGTTTTGAAATTAATGGTGATGTTTTATAACTCTGAATTTACTGAGAATCAGTGAATGGAACACAAAAATAGGTGAATTTCATAGTATGTAAATTATGCCTTAATAAAACTTAATCTTTTTCAGTGATAGTGGATTAGAACTTGAACTTTCTCAGCCAGCCTAAATGAAATTAAATTCAGTCATGTCAACTTCAGGTATTCCTCTTCAACTTTTCTTTTTCTTCCCACGTGCTTAGAACCAGGTCCTCCCATTGAATTCTGGGAAGTTGGCTCCAGCTATGGCTATCAGATCTTTAAATCAGAGAAGGGCGATTGCCTTTGGATCATGGTCCCTCCAGTTGTTTTGGCTTCCTCATCTGAATGTTTAGTTCCAATTTCCTTTAGATTTTTAAGAGTTTTGCAACTGTGGGTTTAAAGGAATACTAGTTCCTCTCGAAATCCTCTTTTTACTGCAGATAGGAAATACAGCTGATTTCTGACTTCCTACTTTTCAAGTGCTTGCTAAGTATAATAATCATTTTTACTTTAACTATGTAGGAGGTTCATTTAATTCCAATTGGGCTACAGACTCCTAGCTTAATCATCCGCCCAAGTTTTTGTAGGTGTTTATCATGACAATTCTAGCAGATCAGCGAAATTTTGGTGTTTTTTTTTTCCGTATTATTTTCTTAAGTAATTTCACTTTTTTAAAAAACAAAATTCATGGCTCAAAAAAATAAAAAGTCATCTACTTGCTTCCAGTTTAATTACAACACATTTTAAAAAACGGGCTACCGTGCCGGCTGGCTCCCTAGGTTAAAGTAAAACTTGTAAAGCGATCAAGGTGTAAAGTTCACATTCTTGTGAGGACTGTTTTGTCTCGAGCGAGGGAAAACCCATTATCCACAGCGAGACCCCACTAGCCATAGCTCTAGAGATCACGTCCATTTCCTTTTCAGTCTCCTGAATGAGGAAAACGAAGTTCAAGTGAGGGAAAACGGGTTCAAATGAAGGTCAGATCCCCAAAAGAGTTTTCTGGGTATTGCGTTGCTGGGGTGGAAAATGTGGGGAAAAGTTAACCAGCTGGGGGCTGGCTCCCCAGGGGGTGGCTCGGTTCCAGTCCTGGCAGGGAAAGAAACGCGGCTGCCTTGGGACTCGCAGTGACACTTGGGGGCCTACTGTGTGCTGGGGACACAAAGGGAACCTCGGGATGCCGCGTCCCACGGTCTGTCGTGTTCCGGGCGCTTTACACGTTGCATACACAGTCTCCGCCCCGAAGGCACTGGCGGTCCAGTTTCCAGGTTGCATCAGGTGGGGGCAATCGAGGTCCTGCTAGGAGGCTGAGGACGCGGAAGGCCAGTCGCGGGGGAAGAGCGCTTCCCTTTCGCCCTCCACGCCAGGCCGGCCCCGGAGGCGAAGACCCACACGCCCTCTCCGAAGGGCAGGCCCGCCTTGGGGAGGGCGGATCCGGGCAGGGCGGCCCTCGTCCGACCCCAGCGAACGCGGCCCAGCGCTGCGCCCGCTCCTCACGTGTCCCTCCCGGGACGCCTCACGTTCTGCTTCCGCCCGACCCTTCCGACTTCCGGTAAAGAGTCCCCGTCCCCTCAACTCCGTGCCAGCCCGGCATCGCCGCCTGGCGCTTCGGCGTGCCCGACCCCGATGCGCTCCGCGGCTGCAGCTCCTCGGGGCCCCGCGGCGGCTACCGGGCCTGGCCGCCTCGCTACAGCGGGATGGCCCGGGCGGTGCTCGCTCCCGCGGACGGCGCGGCGCGGCGGGCGGGGCGGCGCGGACGCGTATCCCTCCGCCGCCCCTCCCCCGTGCGGCCCCGGCCCCCCTCCCCGAGGGCAGCGCTCGCCTCCCTCCGCTTCAGACTGTTTTGGTAGCAACGGCAACGGCGGCGGCACGTCCCGGCCCGGCTCTCGGCAGCTCTTCGGTCTCGGCGGGCCTCCTCGCCCCTTCGTCGTTCTCCTTCTGCCCCTCGCCCCCCCGGCCGCACCACCCCTCGCCTCCCCGCTGGGCGCCCGCGCGTCCCCGCCGCGTTCCGGCGTCTCCTTGGCGCGCCCGGCTCCCGGCTTTCCCCGCCCGGCGTGCGAGCCGGTGTATGGGCCGCTCACCATGTCGCTGAAGCCTCAGCAACAGCAGCAGCAGCAACAGCAGCCCGCGGCCACCAATGCCCGCAAGCCCGGCGGTGGCGTCGGCCTTCTCACGTCGCCCTCCGTCGCGCCGTCACCGTCCTCGGTCTCGTCGCCCTCGGTCCCGGCTTCCACCTCCTCTTCCTCGGCGGCCGCGGCGGGCACTGGCGGCGGGCGGCCAGGCCTGGGCAGGTGGGTGTCGGCGCCGCAGCCCCCTCCGCTCCGGGCCCGGCCGATCCGGGGCCTCGCGTCCCCTCCCCCGCGGCCCACACCGCCGACCCGCCCCGTGACCCGCCGGCCTGAGGGGGGGTGGGCTGGGGTCTCGCGGTGGCGGTGGGGGCCCCGCTCGGGTCTGCAGCGTGGGACTGGGGTGGGGGCGTAGCGACATTCCTCTGCGATTGTCAGGCGGTGTCCAGCCTCCTGCAATATCCCCTCCCCTCCCCCAAACGGTCAAGATGGAGGGACCGGGCAGCCTCCCCTCCCCTTTTGAGTGTTGGGAAAGGGGATCGCTGGTCTTTGCAAATGTCATCCCCCGTTCCACCTTCTTGAAGTCTCCCCTGCCCCAAATTGGAGGATGCTTGAGTAGGGTCTCCACCCCTAGCTGGAATATAAACGTAGGGAGGGGGTCTTTAGGGTTTGGGTCTGTGTCCTGAAACCTGCCTCTTCCCGGGTGCGGGAATGTCGTGAGAGGGGAAGTTAGGGCATCGTCGCCGGTGTCCGCTCACGGGGCAGCTACCGGGCTTCTCCGGATCGCTACCCGGTGTCCTCCACCATCCCCCCTCCCTGCCCTGGAGAAGATGGAAGGACTGGCGAGGTGGGTGGGCAGCAGCCACCCTCACCCTTCCCCCCTGTAGACCGAAGGTGGCGGCGGATGGGGGCTCCCGAACTCCGGAGTGGCCGCCCGCCCGCCCGCACCTGGCGGAGAGGCGGGAGCGCCTGTTCCCTCCTTCCCCGCAAGGCCCCCGGCGCGCGGGTGGTGGCCGATCCGCATTGCTGTGCGGAGGAGAAGGCGCCCTCGGAGCGCTGTGGGCGAGGACCGGACTCGGGAGATCGGGGAGTGGTGGTGGCGGTGGGGGGGCAGTTGCTGGTGGCAGGAGGGAGCCCGCACGCTGCGCATTTGTTCCCAGCCCCCGCCCCACTTTCTGAAATTTCTGGCGGCGAGGAATCGCAGCAGGGAACGGACGTGGTGGGTTTCCGAAGGTGAAAATGCGGGTGCTTGCCTGCGCCTTCGACCCTTCGCCCCTCCGCATAGCCCGGGATCGGGGTGGGAGCTGGAGGCCCGGTGTTGTCCCAGCTCCCTGGGTTTGATTCGGGAGGGCGTGTATGTGCGGGAAGGCCTGGTGGGGGTGGGGTGGTTGTCAGTTCGTGTTTCATGAACTAAGAAAATGCTTAGTGTTCAAACGGAGAAGCGAATGCCAAAAGACTCCATTCCATTGTGGCCGGTGCCCTTAAATCGGGGAGTGCCGCCAGCGCGTACCAAGGGCACGCAAGTCCAGTTCCCCGGTGCTCAGTCCATCCGTGCTGCACCCTCTGCCGAGCCTCCCTCAGGCTTGGGCCTGATCGCAGGGCCAGTGACCAGCGTCCTCCTTTCGTAGCCTGTGGTCTAGGGCTTCCCAAGGTGGCCAAGGAGAGTTTTCATGCACTGAATTTTCTTCTTAGCACGTTCTCAGCAGTCCATTTTCAAAGAATTTTCGTGTACAGCACCAGAAGTTAGCCATCGAGATGAATCAGAGCAGGCTTTTAAGGAATTCTGGGAGCAGTGGTTTTTTAACTTGTAACCCCTACGTTCCCAATTTCCTCTTGTGTGAAGCGAGTGCACTTGGGATACTCCGACTTCATGGTCCCCTTTCCGTGCACCTAGTGAGAAACGGAAACATGAAAGTAGTGCATAGAAAAAGATGCATCCTATGTTTTTCTTCTGAGTTATCAGGAAGAAATCTGGCAAATGTATTTTAAGTTTAAATAATTAAAAATGAAAAATTAACGTTTTATGTTGCATTGGTTTGAAGTTAGATTACAAGAATATACCCTGGCACAGGTTGAGTGATGAATGATACTTAGGATGTTTTAGTACCACTGATTATTTTTCCTGTTACTTGACGCTTGGCAAAAATTATTCGGTGCTTTAAATTCTTTTACTCGAGGCATAAATTGTGCCTCTTTTTCTTTTTGATAAGCGAATCTTTGTCTAATGTATTGGATTCATAAAATGTGAAATTTTCTGTACAGATCTTCAGTTAATGTATTTTGAATTACCTTGAATTTTTAGTCATTTACTGGGTTCTTTGTAAATCAGTTACACTTCTGGTATCTTCTCACTTTGTGTATCAGTAATTAAAATAAGGTTCTGGGAGCAAGGATGAGGAAAGAAAATTTTGGTTTGACGTTTTTGAGATAGCAAAATACTTTTGAAAGTTTAGAAATTCATGTTTGCTTTAAGTAACCGTTCTATATCTGATTACATTTGACTTGTCAGATACAGATTTTTTACTTTCAAAGTGGTTTATTAATCATATACACTTAAAGGTGGCTGTCTTAACTTTAGGAAATAACAATGTAATTACATTCTTAAAATTTTTCATTTTTATTTTTGGTGGTACTGGGTTTAAACTCAGGACTTCATACTTGCAAAGCAGGTTCTTTGCCTCTTGAGCCACACCTGCAGTCTGTTTTGCTCTGGTTATTTTGGAGACTCAGTCTCTCAAGAACTGTTTGCCAGGGTGGTCTCAAAGTGTGATCCTCCCTATCTCAGCCTCCCAAGTAGCTAGTATTATAGGTGTTGAGTCACCTGTGCTGGGCACATTCTTAAAATTTGAACATAACTTTTTTTTGTGGTACTGGGGGTTGGACTCAGGATCTCTGTGTTCTACCACTTGAGCCACCCCCTCAGGTTTTTTTGCTTTAGTTGTTTTTGAGATTGGGTCTCCTTTATGTCCCAGCCTTCCTGGACCACTATCCTCCTATTTATGCCTCCTTGTGACTGGGATGACAGGTACACACTCAGCTTTTATTGGTTGAGATGGGGGTCCTTTGAACTTTTTGGCCATGGTGACCTCATTCCTAGATCCTCCCATTTTCTGTCTTCCAAGTAGCTAGGATTACAAGCTTGAGCCAAACTCGTGCCCTGCCTTCTTTTGTGTGTGTAGGGGAGGGGGGGATGAGGGTCTCTCTATAGAGCCCAGGCTGGCCTCAAACTCCTAATCCTCCTGCATCTGCCTCCCGAGTGTTGGGACTACAGGCATGCACACCTAGCTCTAAATCTAATTCTTACACTCTTTCCTTAGTTTTGTGGTCAGCATTTTTCCTCTACCTTTTGGTAATTTTTTAAAGATTTCTACTCAACCATAAGTTACCTATTGCAAAGTTTCTACTTAATTATTGCGGGAATTGGGGTTTCTACTTTTTAGCCTTTGTCGGCATGGATGTAATGAGCATCTGTACACTTACAGCTGTTTTGGGGGAGGCGAGACTGGAGTTTGAATTCAGTTCTGGCTTGCAGTTCTGGCTTGCAAAGCAAGTGCCGTACACTTGAGCCACACCTCCAGTCCATTTTTCTGTGGTTATTTTGGAAATGGGGGGGGTCTTGAAAACTCTTTGCCTGGGCTGGCCTCCAGCCTGTATCCTTCCAATCTCAGCCTCCAAAGTAGCTAGGATTACAGGTGTGAACCACTGGCATCTGGCTGAAAAATTGCATTTTCTATGCAGCACATATGTAATTAAGTGCTTCTGTTAGTTACCCGATTATTTATACTTGAGTTTGAATGGAGTGCTGTGAGGACTTAATGAGGCAGTGTATGTGAAGACCTGTAATAGATACTGCTGCTGTGGATCCATGCTGTATCTGTCCTGCTGATTCTGTACTGACTACTGTCAAATTCCTGGGAGAACTGTTCTAAAGCTTTTTGGCTTTTTTTTGTTTGTTTGTTAACACCCCATCTAGAAGTTTATTAGCTGCCAGTCTTACGACCAAATTGTTTCTGGTAACTTGTGCGTAGTTTTGCAGCACTATTGGGGTTCATCCGTATCTCTTCCCTGTCCACATTCCTTTCTCTTTTTTTTCTTCCCTCCCCCCCCCCACCCCCCACCCCGGCTTTTTTTCCTCTTTCTCTAAGCCAGCCCAAGCTGGCTTCTTAATTCATAATCCTCCTGACTCAGCCTCTGAAGTGCTGAGATTACAGGCATGCACCACCATGCTCTGTCTTGGAGTTTGAGTTCTGATGTGAGGAGGCAGGCAATAAACAAGACATAAAATTAGCAACATGTGTATAATATTAGATGAGACTGGGATTAGAGGAAAGAAGATTAAGGGGGTGGGGCAGTAGATTGTACCTTAAATGGATTAGAGGAGACTTCATTTTAAGAGGTAGAAACTGAACCAAGATCTGGAGGAAGCTTAGGTATTTTACCATTTGCTTTTGCACTGTAGATTAAGGTTTAAACTGACTTATTGTTTGTCAGGTCATTCTTTCATGAGGGGTTCGATACCCATTTAGTTATTCCAATGTAATTAGACCAAAAGACTTAACTGGCCTTTAGGTGTTTACAGGTAAAGCGCTCCCTTGTTTATTTTTATCTGATTATTTGTATTTTCATTCCAAGTGCCTGGAGAAAGTACACTTTAATATGGGGCAAAACCCCAAAACGCTTATCTGTGTTTGCCAAAGTAAAAAGTAACCCTGTAGTTTCTCTGAGATTTTACATTTTAAAACATAGTGAAAGTGATGTGGGGATCAGTCATGGTTCCTATTTTGGTTGAATCTAAACTTGTATTTTCAGTGTTTTGCTAATTAGGAAGTTACAGTTTTACACGGGGGACGTTAACTCATATCATAGCTATTTAATAGCCATATGTTTCCACTTAAAGAAGGATCTGATTTTTTTTTTTTTTTTTGTCCTAAGTAGCTGCAGCTGTGTTAGAACTTTCACCATAGCCCTGTGTGTTGTTCCCTTGAAAGGAATTTTAAGGTTTCAGAAGGTCTTTCCCTAGAATTATAATTTTTCTATTTTGGCTACGTAGTAATAGTATTTTGATATTGTATAAATAGTTGAGTGTGAAGAAAACTATTTTTGTAACTATTTTAAACGATAGTGACAGCTTTAATGGAGGTGCAAATAGGTTTTATTAGCGGGCCTACCTGCTGCTATGTCTATTTAATTGGAACTACTTGGGTTTATTTGGAGCATATCTGGGT